AGACCCCACCACCACGCGTGGAGGTGTAGAGAGGGGAAGGGTAAGTAAATAAACCCATAAATAATTAAATGATGGGGGCCAACGTTGAGAAACACTGACTTAGACAGCATTATACAATAAGGCTGTTCCAGCTTACATACAAATGCGACTTAAGGAGAGACCTTGGGAACGGACCTCGTTCTTAAACTGGGACTGCCTGTACAGGTAAATCAGGATTGTATACCACACGAATCATGGCTTACCCCACGAGCCAAACCCCGATCTCCAGTACCTGATACTCTTCCTCCGTGAGACCGAGCGAACGGGCCAGCTCTTCCAACTGACGCGGGTCCTGGGCTCGGAAAATGCGTGAGAGGAGGACATAGATTGTGGGTGATTCCGGGGACGTCTGCAACAGGACCACGAGCCCGCCATACCAGCAAGCTCGCGACAAATAGTGAGCATAGCATTTTTCTTCCAGTGACAAGAGCTCGAAAGCTTCGGCGCAATCCAGCGTCGCAATCCCAATGTCATTGGGCAGAACGTAGTGGGAGTCCACCATTATGCCAAGCTGGAAAAAAGGGAGAGACCAAGCGGTCACCTTTTGGTACAGTGACCATCCGTCCCTTATTATAAATCCACCTGTCTAAAGGATTCGGCGGCTGTATTTTCTTGGAAAAAAATAAAGGACAAAAAGGCCTGAAAAAGGGGCAAATCTGAAGGAGGTTCCTAAGGATTAAAACATCTAATTGTTCCTGTTTGTAACTTCGCTTCGCCAAGGAAAATTCAAGAGCGACACCAAGAAAAACATCCATCCTCCTAAACATACCTAAAATCAAACCGCACCTGTACATTTATTTTAAAAAAGACAATCCCGTTTCCATATTTAGTCCCTTCTTTCAGAAAGCTGTCCTTCAGACTGAATTTGTCCTTTATTTTGGCCATTTCACTTTGGCCCTACAAACGGTGCCACCGAGTGCTGTCTTGCACATTCATGCGAAAAACAGAGAATGCTACAACGCCACCCCAATTTTGCACACTCTGCGCAGGCGAGACCTGGTTTTCCCAACGCTGCCAACTCCAGAGCGTGCAAAAAATGTGTAGCCCCCCCCACCCCCTCTCCTGCTTCTCCTGCTACTCTGATTCCTGCCACACCCCCGTTTTCCTCCCTTCACTTCTTTAAAACAGCTGGCCCCGCCCCCCAGCCTCCCGCAGCCCATCCCCCGGGCGCCC